AGTTGTGCTGAGGGGCCCGGAGCAAGGAGTGCCCTGTCAGCATGGGCTTTTGGGTATCAGGAAGGACTTGGGGAACTAGCAGCTGTCGGCCCTCAATGAGATCGTGAGTGCTGTTTCTGGGAATCACCAGGGGCTTCTGGGTCGCTCAGAAGCGGGGCCTGTGATGTGTCAGGGCTGCCCTCTAGGCGCTGGCTACCCCCTGGGGTTGTGCTGTTTGATTTTTCCGGTGGCACACATGCAACTTCTTATCTCCACAGCACTTCCATTTGCTAGAGAATTCCTTGGATTCATGCAGGGAAAAGAGCCGACTGTAGCCTGGCACACGTGGGGCTCAGCCTTTGCTTTGGTGAATGGAATGCATTCTGCCTCAGCTAACTCGGTGCCAGCATCCGGCAGCCAGGCCCAGGGCCGCCCTAGCCCTGCCGTGGGAAACGTGAGGGCCGCAGGGTTCTTTTTTGTCTTTAACCTGTTTGCTGTTCTGGGAATTATAATCGGTTCTAACTTTTTGTTGCTTGTGGGAATGAATCAAGGTCTAGGGGTGGGAATTTCCAGTAGATAAGGCTGTCCACAGCTCCGTCCCCCACTGGGATGCAGTGCTGACTTTCCTCCTCTTCCAGGAAGCTTCTACAGTCTGCCCTTGTTCAGGCTGAGCTCAGAAGGGTCAGTGGCAGGACCCACTCCCATGCAGCTCCTTGATTCCTGCGCCACTTCTATGCCACTGGGACTGTGCCTCCAGCCAGGGCCTGTTTGTTAGCAAAGTCAGCCCAATGGCTCTAGTTCCACAATACCTCCCTTCTCACTGGATGTGCACGGCCAGAAGGGCTGCCCTGGGATGCATGCCTTTGCCCAGCCCCGAGCACCATCCACTCAGGTAGGCGCAGTGTAATCAGGTGGACTTCACTATGTACCCCAACTCCTTAGAAGCGGTGTCAAGTGCTACTTTTCCCCTGACTCATGTAGTATGGTGACTTTTTAGCAGTGGTTCCTGCCATGGCTGGGAGAAGTGGAGCCAGAGACAGGCTCCTCCTCCTGTGGTCTCCTGGGAACCAAGGGGTTGTGGGGTTCTGTGCTGCATCTCCCTTCAGCACCCAGGGGTTTGGATGGGCAAAGGGAACGTATGGTCCACTTGGGAGCCCCCATTGGGGCACACACACACTTCAGGCTTGGGTGGTGTTTATCTGCTTTCCTGAAAGCCCCATTGAACTCAGGCCTTTCTCCAGGACCCACTGGTCTGAAAGATTCCTGTAAGCAGCTACTTCCATCAGAAGACAGGATGCCTGAGGTGCCATAAGTGGGGCAAGTGCAGTTCACGGGACAGTGAGGCTCATGGGGTCCGACCCAAGGGGGCCAAGGTGCAGGGCTCAGACCCTCTGGCCATGGCCCCTTGCGGGCCATCCTGCTCCACCCTCCCCATGGTGGGAGGGTGGAGTTTGTCAGAAGTCTAGACTCGCCCCTGGCAGCCTGGGGCAGCAGTGCAGGGCCTCGGGAGAGTCCATGTGGTTGTGCATAAGAAACCTTTGCTGCTGCACGGCTACGCATGGACTGCTGCCTTCTTGCCGTAGCTCGCCTGGTCTAGTAATGGCCAAGTTAGTTTTTAGGAATCTGTTTTACATATCTAAATCAACTTTTTCTGAATACACAAGTGTAAATAGTACAATTTGCAGTGCAAAGTCCTTGGCAATAACTTTGTTATGTATGTAAAAACATTGGAAATCCTCCCCCCACCCCTGACCACCATGGACTGTCCTTCCGCTCTGGGCACGTGCGCGTCGGGATGTCGCCGCTGGCCCGGGCTCCGCAGCAGCCTGCACGTGTAGACTGTCGGCGGTGCCTTCATGCCTGCTGCCCACGCCGTGGCTGGGCCCCACGCATCGAGTGCCAGACTCTGCGACAGACTCTGCCCCCTGCTTTGTCGGCTGCGTTTGTATGGAATGCCCTGACATGTTGCGTTTCTTTCCCCCCGTCTGGATGAGTAGAAATAAACGCTTGTGTCTTCAACAGCAATGACTAACTGCTGTGTGCGTGACCCACGGGACTCCACGACCCTTGGAAGGGTCAGCCACTCCCAGCTCGAGCTCAGGAGGAGGAGTGCGCACTTCCTGGCTGCACAGGGGCCCGAGGTGGACGGACACCCTTGGCCATGGCCCTTAACTGTAGCTGGTGCACAGTCTACTCAGGGTGCGGCCTAGAGGAAGCGGAGCATGTGTGAGTGGAATCCCAGGGCCAGACGCCACCAGGGGCTTGTCCCCTACACACCTCCCCACGCCTGCTCTTGTCCTCCTGTCTGTTCCCTGTGCTGGCAATGCAGCGACATTAGAGGGCAGGAAGCTGACTCCTAAGACCAGAGGTGGTCCCGGGACCACGAGGAGCCTTGGCCAATCCCGGAGGATGAAGACGGGTGCCGCTGGCCCCGGGAAGTGGTCTGAGGGGAAGTCTTCAGGTAGGTGACTGGACAGCAGGAACACCTCATGCACTACACGCCCCCCTCCCCATCTCCTGTACACCCCTGCTTTGCACTGAGTGCCCAGCTGTTGCCAGCTGCATCCACAGGGCTCTGTGGGGATGGCCAGACTCTAGCCATGCCTGGGCCAGGGCTCGGCTCCAGGAGACAGGTTACTGAGGCAGAACTAGGGTGGGGAAAGAAGAAGCAGATTATGTGATGGGACAGACCTCCAGGCCAGTGGGGTCACAATGACAACACCCCTGCCTCCCCAATCGGGATCCCTCCCCCAAAACTCAGCATAGCCACAGCCCAGGCCTGGCCAGGCTCCTCTGTGCCCAGGGCGAGGGGCAGGGACCTGCTGCCATGCTGCTCTTCTCCTGTGTCAGAAGTGGAGGGTGAAATCCCAGCTCCGGAGGGATGGTGGGGAGTGCCTCGTTCAATGGTAGTGGAACCCTGCCGTGTCAACTATCTGGGGGCCACTCTGAGGCATGTCTCGGAGTGGCCCCCAGAGAGCCCGGGTCACCTGCCGGCCTAGCTCTGCCAGAACAGGAGCTCCGCAGCTTGCTGTCCCTCTCAGTCCTCAGCGTTCAGCCCCCCAGTGGCACTGGCGGTCAGGACAGCTGGCCCGGACTGCAGCCTTTGCCTCTGGGGCGCTGGTTCCCCCCCCCCAACAGTGGTGTGGCTCATGGCGTGCCTCACATGTCCCCACTGCACTGGAGAGGCCTTGGGAATGCCAGTGGGCAGAGATGTGGCCAGGCCTGGGCTGGCACCTGCTGCTCTTCCAGCCACTCTTGTGCCCCATGTCGCTTCACAGTCTCTGCTGCTTCCCACCCACCGCTTTGGGACAAGGCACGGGCAACGTGCCCAAGGACAGCTCCTGTCACCCATTTCATTCTTTGCTCAGCCACCAGGGCCTCCTGCCCCTCTGCTCCACCTTGAATGGGTGGTACCCAGGCCTCAACTAGACCTCATGTGGCATGAACATCCCCCAACATGGGCTCAGTACACAAGACAGAGTCCAACGGCCCTTAAGGCTGCCAGGCCAGACACCTCCGATGGGCACAGGCCGTGCCAGCTTCCTGGTGTCTCCACTAACCCGTCTTGGTTCTCACCTCTGGTCAGACTCATCTACCTGCAGGTCTGGCTCACACTTTCCCTGGCTGCCCGTTATGCCACACCCAACCCTGCCCTCATCCTCACATTTGGTCTGGTTCAGTCCCTGAAGCCAACTAGCTGGCTAACAATGCCTTCCTCCCACCAATACATCTCCTGGTGGCTGGTGCAGACCATGGCCACGGTGCCCATCTGAGCAGTGCCCCCCGGCTCTTGTGCACCTGTCCCTTGAGGTGTTACAGGTGTGGCCGGGCTCAGCTTTCCCACAGGACCTCCCTAAAGGCAGGAGCCAGAGGGGAGTCACGTGACTTGGTGATGCCCATCTTGGGGCCAGCATCTCCCACTGCAAGTGTGGGGGCATGTATTAAGTCCCTGCCCTCCTGCACCTGGGGCCCCTGGGCATGGACAAGGATGGGCAGGCTGGCCAGCAATGCAGAACCCACTCACCAGCTTCCTCTCCTGTAGACATGCAGCCATGGTCTGCCTTGGGCCTATTTGCATCTGAAGGCCGTGTCAGGCCTGAGGACCTGCGGGCAGGGAGGAGCGGTGGGGGGTGAGGAAAGCAGCACTGGCTCCTGCCACAGAGAAGGGTACAGGGGTGGAAGAGACCACTGCAGGGAGCGGAGTGCTGAGACAGTGTGGTCCCAGACCCAAGACTGACGCACTGTCCGCTAGGCGAGGGCCACCTCCCAGCCTCAGTCAGCCTTTTCCCCGCCTGCTCATCTGTTCCCTCCCTGGCCTCGCTGGCCAGCTGCCTGGCCTTCCCTCGGTTTGCAGACCCCAGCATGCCGAGCTATGGCCTGCAGCTTCCCAGTGTGCAGATCAGAGGGGCTGGGACCCAAAACTAGCCCTCCGACTGACCACTGAGGTACATGGCCACTCTGTCCATGTGCAGCGTGGCTCCTGGAATGCCCAGGTGGGCAGAGGCATCTCCCTGTTTGGCCAAGCCACCTCAGCCACCCCTTGTTCTTGTGGGGTGGAGAGAGGGCAAAGGGCAGAATGATACAACTAGGTTTTTTTATAAAGCAGTCGAATATAGTGCCCAGCACAATGGCCTAGCAGCTAAAGTCCTCACCTTGAAAGCGCCGGGATCCCATATGGGCGCCGGTTCTAGTTCCGGCAGCCCCACTCCCCATCCAGCTCCCTGCTTGTGGCCTGGGAAATGAGTCAAAGATGGCCCAAAGCCTTGGGATCCTGCACCAGCGTGGGAAAGCTGGAAGAGGCTCCTGGCTCCTGGCTTCGGATCAGTGTAGCTCCAGCTGGTATAGCCACTTGGGGAGTGAATCAATGGAGGGAAGATCTTCCTCTCTGTCTGTCCTCTGTATATCTGATCTTTTCCAATAAAAAAAATCTTTAAAAAGAAAACAAAGCAAATATAAACAATATTTTCTTTGTACCAAAATATTTAATGAATATGCTGTTAAAATAAAACCAACAGAAGAAATAGTAATACAATTTTACTTGTTTATATCTCAGTTCATCAATTGGACACACTGGAACTACCCTAGCACAGTATCCACGCACCTAGCATTAGACGGGCTTACAGTCGTTCGTGACTGAACAAGGACACGGCAAGCGGCGGGGGGGCTGCCACTCGTCCCCTCCCTCCTCACAGATGACCGCAGCAAGCGTTAGTATAGTCAACAAGAAGAGACAGAAACACCCGGTGTATGTACAAACCAGTGCCTCCCCAGGCAGCTCCACGGGGAGCGCGAGGGCAGAAGCGTCCGCGAGACGGTCTGTCAGCACATCACCACATAAATTAAAAGCTTTAAAAAACTGGTAAAGGTACCACACCTCCAGGTCACAGCTGGCCACGGCCGAAGCCGCGCACTGAGCCGGTCACACAGCGTGGCCTTCCCTCGTCACGCTGCCCTTCCAGTGAGGGAGTCTGAGCCCGCGGGCGCGGGGCAGCGCCCACGGCCTGGCAGCCACCACGTGGTTACCGTGTGCAGCGCGGTGCTCGGCGCGGGCACCGGGAGTGCTGACATGAATATCCACGGGCCACGTCGCGCAGTGAGCAGCTGCCTCGGTCCGTCCGTGGCCACCCGCCCCCCAGGCTCGTCGCGGCCTTTTGGCAACTAATTCCAATACATTAATAGAAACTACTAGAGTTGCATAGAGTTGATCAGAGATGTGAGTGATGCCAAACGAAAACCTGTGCATCAGATGGTCTACCAACTCTGCGCTTGCGCCGCGGAGACCCTCCTGTTGCACACGAGGTGTGTCCCCAGCCCACCTGGGCTGCGCGGGGCTGAAGCAGCGAAGGATCCCCGCTCTCCCCCACCCCCATATATGTGTGTGTATTTTCTTTAAAAATGATGGGTTTAGAGGAAAAAAAGCCCAACACAACTGAAGGACCCCCCCAACTCCGATAACGTAACCCCAACCTCCAGGCTGGGTGGGGCTGAGGCCCGGGGGCCACGCCGAGGAGTGACTTCGGGGTGTGAGTAGTTAGGCGCGCCGGCCCCAGGGGCTGCCTGCTCGGTGAACTCCAGGGACCTACCAACATGTGTTACAGGCCGCACTTCAGTCCTTTCTGGTCCTGGGACATGTCAGAATCACACGTCCGGCCGAAGAAGGCATCGAGGGGTGCTGTGTGTCCCGAGGAGGAGTCGGGGCAGCAGCGGTGCTCAGCATGTCTCCTTCCCCTGGACCCCGGTTGCCGTCTTGATGGAGCTCAGAGTTCGGTTGAACCATGTCTTCTTGGCTGCCTGCACCTCACTGAGGGCGAGGCCTAAATGGTGCTCCAGGTCCTACAAGGGGGACAAGGCCACGGCTGTCCCAGGTGCAGCTGGGACCCAAGCTGGGGCTCTGGAAATTCCTGTCAAAGTGCCCCAAGGTCCGAGCAGCTCTCCTGGTTGAGGCTCATTTCCGGCCTACTTCCTGTGCACAGCAGGAAGCAGCAAACACGCTAACTCCGCGTCCTAACTTGCCACCCGCACATCTGGAGTCTAGCATGTAAGCCTGGTGTTCGGGGAGCTTCCCGGTGGAGCCCACATTTGCTCCTGCACCCCCAATCTGGGTGTAGCTTCTGGAGTTGACCCTGCCCCTGCCCTGCTGACGGGGTGGCAGGGAGCAGCCCCCGGGGAGAGCCCATTGCAGCCGGCCGAGCCTGTGCTCTTTGTCCCAGCCCTGGTGGTAACTTTCATTATGACAAAATCCCAAGTCCTCAGGACAGGCCGGGTGCAGTTTAGACCTTCGTTTCAAAACAAGACAAACCAAGGCTCAGGCTGCTTCCCCTGGGGACTGACGGGAACCCCAATCCCGATGACCCGTGCCCCTGCCGCCCGGAAGTTTCTGGGCCCCAAGCCCCTGGCTCTCACCTGGATCTTACACTCAGCCTCCACCAGCTGCAGCTTGGTCTGGGCCAGCTCCAGCTCCATCTCCCTCAGCTGGTTCCTCAGCAGCTCCTTCTCCTCATCAGCATCCTGGTCTGACACCTCCTGGGCTGGCCGGACGCCCTTCACACGCCCTTCTTTGCTGAAGAACTCCCGGCAGCGCTCACAGTCGTCCACTTTTTGCTGAAAGGGAAGGTCAGACATGAGGAGGCACTGACTCGGCATGAGGCCCTGAGCGCCAACTCTGAGGTGCTCATGGCTCCCAAAGTGTAACTTCGGTGTGTACACGTACAAATGAGCCACCGGTGTGGCTACCTGGAATTGGAGATGACTGTAGCTCGTCCTGCTGCAGGAAAAGGGGGGATCAGAAAAAGAGCACCCACAACGGGCGGCCAGGAGAATCTCTGTGCCGGCCCTGCACTGTGGCCGGGGCTTAGGCTGCACCTGCAGCCTGCGCATCCCGACAGGGCGCCAGGCGAGCCCCTGCTCACGTGCCTGCAAGAGCAGTGCAAGATGGCTCATCCACTTGAGGGTACCTGGATGAGGCCCCTGGCTCCTGGCCTTGGCCTGGCCCAGCCCCAGCAGGTGTGGCCACTTGGGAAATGAACCGGCAGATGAAATGTCTGTTTCTCCCCCTCTCTACCCCGCCTTTCAAATAAAAGTATCATACTTCAAAAAAAATCACTGTGCCATTTATACATGGCACAGTGTAAAGTTTTTGATAAGTTTTTTATAACATGGGAAATTAAGAATAGGGGTGAAACTGCAGGGAAAAATAAATTTGTCAAAATGAGCTGGCACCAAGAAACATTTTGTGAACCACTGGGGCCAAGGCAATGGCTCACCTGGCTAATCCTCTGCCTGTGAGCACCAGCACCCCATGTGGGCGCCAGTTCATGTCCCAGCTGCTTCACTTCCCATCCAGCTCCCTGCCTGTGGCCCGGGAAAGCAGTCGAGGACGGCCCAAAGCCTTGGGACCCTGCACCCGCGTGGGAGACCCGGAAGAGGCTCCTGGCTCTGGATTACCTCCGCTCCAGCCATTGTGGCCATTTGGGGAGTGAATCAGTGGACAGAAGAGCTCTGTTTCTGCTTCTCTATAAATCTGCCTTTCTAATAAAAAGAAATACTTAAAACAACAACAGAAAGCAGCTACCAATTAAACCACATTGTTAAAAGTCCCAATTCTAGATGCAAAGATGGAAAAAGTGCATCTGTTGCATGAATGAACTCCAGACATTAAAGTAAAACGAACAAAGCCAACAGGGTAATATATGCAGAAGTATTAATGATGATGACATTATCTGCAGCTAATGAGGAACTTTTTAAAGAGACTTTGCTTATTTGAAATGCAGAGCTAGAGACAGAAGGAGGGAGAGGGACGAGAAACGTCCTGGTTTACTCCCCGGAGAGCAGCGACAGCTGAGCATGGGCCAGGCTGAAGCCAGGAGCCAGCAGCTTCTGCTGCTCCCACAGGGCGTCCAGGAGTCTAAGCACGTGGCTGTCCTCCGCTCGCTCGGCGCAGGTGGTGGGGGGAGGGGGGACAGGCAGGACACAGACCCCTGAGGCAGCACCTTAACTAACTAGCGTAATATCAGCCCCACACGACATTCAGATGTAACAAAACATGGCATGGTACCCCACTAAGTGGGTACAGTTTCTTTGTGTCAATTAAAAAAAAAGAAACCAGAATCATTTTCTTTTTCAAACTGAGCATTATTTCTGCTGAGAAATATCCAAGGCGTGCAGCGGGAGGTCCAGGCCAGCAGAGCTGCAAGGATGGGAAGCTGGCAAGCAGGTGCCGGGCGGCTGAGCCAGGAGCCCTGGTCCGTTCCGCCCCCCGAAGGGCACACACTGCATCGCCAGGGCTCTGCTCCTGGGCGCTCCTATGGGGCCAGCCAGGCAGCAGGCAGGAAGTGGGAGCAGCCTGCAGTCACCCCCTGGTGACACAAGCCACTGGTGGAGCCGTCCCTGGCCTTTCTGGCCAGCGTCAGTAGAAGCAGCCAGAGAAGGTGGCAGATGTGGAACGCAGCTGTCCTAACCATTAGGCTGAATGGCGGCCCATTAGTGCTTTGCAGTAAAGACAGACATGGTTCGCCTACACTCGGGGTGTGGACAGTGTCACGGTCATGAGTCCCAGGTTCCTGTCCAATGAGTTGTTAAGAGGTTACTAAATCCTCTAATTTTTTTCTAGGAAAACTATTCATCTTAGTAAATAAAGCTTGACAAATATTCGAACACAGGTAAAGCTTAAAGAAAGAAAGCAAGTTATAACCCCCACCCCGCACTGGCAACATCACCCGGAGAGCAAAGTCCTGCCGCTCGCCAGCCTCGGGGCGCCGGCCCCCGTGGCTCCTGCAGCCTCATCCGCTCTCCCAGAGCTGGCGCAGAGCGGACGCAGACCCTGGGACAGTTCACGTGTTGCTGGTTCTCTCCCCTCGGAATCCAAGTGTCCTGCCCGCACTGGCTGCAGCAAATACAGCCAGCAAGTGAGCGAGAGGATATAAAACGCACCTGGTAAAGAAAGACTTACCCGAATTTTCTCAATTTCTACTTTATTAGCTGTCTGCTGCTTCTCCAATCTTTCACTCAACTGTGAACAAATCTGAAGAAGAAAACATAAAACCACAAGGTGCTAAGGCAGGTTACCACGTGCTTGACCAGGGCTCTGTGCTGGAGCAGCCGCTGAAGGTGAGGCGGGACGAACAAGGGCAGATGGGCTGCTGTGAAGTTCCCGGATGCACAGCGGGCTCTCCGGCTGTGCAGGAGCCTGCAGGTGCCACCCTCAGGGCCAGTGGTTTCTCAGCACTTGGCAAGCTCACTGCCCAGCATGAGCTTGGGGAGGAGTGGCAGGGCCGACTCACTCAGGCTTCCGAGATGCCCACCAGCCAGGGGGAGAAGCGGCAGTCCACGCTTGTGGCATGGAAAGGATGTGGGTTTCAGGGAAGCACCTGCTGGGTGCTGGGCCCCCACCAGGTCCTCAACAACAGGGTCTCCTGTTCCCCCCCAGTGGCACCCCTAGACTCGGAGCACCTCTCCGGGTCATGGCTGAGAGCCAGAGAAGGGCCGGGGGCAGCAGGAGGGCTGCAGCGCCGGGGCCGGCGGTGGCACTGCCCGACCCGGGAACCAAGGCTCACCTGCTTGTAGTCACCGATGATGGAGCTGTTTTTTCTAATCTCAGATTCCGCCTTGTCGAGTTCCCGGCGGCACATTTCTTTCAACTGAACAAATGACAAAGCACAGTGGCTGTTTTCGGGGAGGAAGGCAGCTCTGCCACGCGCCGCTCAGTGGGCTGGCTGTTGACAAGGGTCTGCTTTGTGCACGGGCCCTCACTGCCCTCCCCGCATGCTGCCTTCCTTCCAGGACTGCCCTGGGGAGGAGCTGGCGTGCAGGTTCTCCCCTGCTGGGCCCACTGCAGAGCGGAGGCGGAGCACGGGGGCTCCTCCAGCGCCTCGCTGTGTGCACGAAGCGCCCTGTCCCCCTCGCCCACCAGGCCGCCTCCACTGGGGGCATTACCACCCTGCACAGGGGCGGGCCTTGGTCCAGGGCAAGCTTCCTGTGCTAGCAGGGCTGCCTCAGCTTCCCCAGATCGGAGCAGGGTGAAGTGGTCTCTGCCAGCAGGTGCTCCACGGGGTGGCAGGGTCCCTCGGCACGGATACGCGGGACGCCCCGACCCCAGTGAGGATGGGCCCACTGTGTCCTCCGTGCCTTTCCTGATGAAGCACCACCAGGCTTCACAGGATGAACTGAAAAGGCCACTGCAGAGAAACTGCAGCCAAGCATCTCTGGATGCCCCAGTGCCAAGAGCAAGCCACCAGAGGAACCCCAACTCTGCAGCCTCTCCCGACGGCAGAACAGCGGGAGAGGAACAAGCGCGCCTCTTCACCTGAGCAGACTCATCTTCCAGCCGTCTCTTCTCCTCTTCCGCGTCAATCAGCTTCTGCTTGGTCATCAGCAGCTCCTTATTCAGCGCGTCGGCCTTTTCTTCAGCCTGCAGCAGTGACAACATGCCGTCACCAAACCAGAGGGAACAAGTCCCACACCTCTAACGAGCCAGCGCAGTCCCTCGTAAGCGCTGGGGGTGTTGTGATGCTGCTGGGGCAAGGGCATGCCTGTAGTGCCATGAAGCCGGGCGTGGAGGGTGGTGGAGAGAGGCTCGGCCTTCCTATCTCTGACCACGTGCCCTGACCCCCCTTACGTGGGGGACAGGCCACGGAGTGCTTCCAGCACAGCGCCCAGGAATAGAGCTGACAGAAATGGAAAGCCGTGGGCATCGCTGTGAATGGGTTAATAACCTGTGTCTAACACACAGCCGCCCCCGGCAGTAGACAGGGCTTTCCCTGAAACGAGAGGCGTGTGTGACGTCCCACTGCCCTGGGTGGGAGCTGAGCCTGGGGCCTCCCACAGCAGCCCTCGTGTGCTGGCTACCTGGCCCGACAGGACACCGATGGCCATCAGTTAGGGCCTACTGAGCATCCACACAATGCAATCCTACTTAGGCCTGTCTGCCCTGGACAACAGCTTATCTCTAGCTGCAACCCAAGGCATTGAAAGGGAAATGAAGAGAATCAAACAGGAAGAGAAATGAGATTCTGTTGGAGAGCAGAGGCTGCTTCACTGGGGGAGAAGCTGCCCGTCTTGCTGGGATTCTGGGGTGTCGTCCGGGCCCCTCTGCAGCCAGCCTGCACACTCCCCCTTGCCCGACAATGCCACTGTGGCAGACGACGACGACACATGCCAACACTGGTGACCTGAGCCTTCTAAGGCGGCCCTGCTCTCCATTTACAAGGTGGTCAGGTGGGAAAGTGATCTCCCCAAACATGCACAATTCGGGTTCCCGATGCGGGAGCTGAGGACTGTAACCTGACGGCAGGCCAGCTTGCAAAGCTGGTTCTCCACAGCCTGCCAGCAGGAAGGGGCAGGGGCTGCTGGACTGACCCACCAGGGCTCACCAACGTCCCCAGGCTGGCTAGAGTCACTCCACTGACATAAGCAGATGAGAGGACATCCAGGGCCTGCGCAGTGGCACAGGTTAAGCTGCCACTTGCAGTGCCAGCACCCTGAAGGGCAGCAGCTTGGTCCAGCCTCCTGTTCATGTGCCAGGGAAGGCAGTGCAACATGGCCCACGTGTTTGGGCACATGCACATAAGCAGAAGACCCACAAGTTGTGCATGGTCACAATCTGGCCCAGCCAGGGCCGCTGTGGTTATTCAGGGAGCGAGCCAGCGGAGGGAAGAGCCTCTTCCTGTCTGTAACAGCCTTTCAAACAAATCTTCCAAAAAGAAAGAAAAGAGTGGGGGAACATGTGGGGACAAGGAGCGACATCAGACCTGTACCCGGTCCCATGGGGAGTGAGCAGATCTATCTGCCCTCTGGAAAGAAAACTGACACAACCTATGTCAACATATGTTTAGACGAGGAAAACAATAAATGCAAAACTGTGGCTCCTGAGCTTAAAAAAAAGAAATCACTGAGCCAGAAGAGTCCTGCTACCACGGGCGTTTGGCTGGAGTCGAGCCACGCAGGACAAGCTCGAGGGCAACAGAGGCCGAGGCCGCTGGCAGATAGGCAGAGCCCTGAGCAGCAGGAACCGGGCAAGGGCTAGTAAGCCACTGGGGACAGGAAACTAGGAAGACACTAGTTAACTCAAGGAGCACAGGAGGAACCAAACTGCCTATGAAAAGCAGAATGCAGATTTTTCTCTAACCCAGATAAAAAGCACAGGACAGGATAACACCTGCCAGGCAGTACCACGCCGGGATGGACAGTACCAGGAAGACAGCTCGAACGAGCATCAGGACCAACAAGGAGGGAGGGGGCCGCGTCGCTGCGAAGGCGCACTCCCGTTATGGGAAACAAGATGCTGCGTAACTGGAAGGAAATGCAGACACACGCGAACCAGACGCAGGCTTGCACTGTGTGCACAAAGTGGCAGATCAGAACTGCAGCTGGCCCGCGTGACCTGACTGCCTCGGCACATTGCAGCCACTGCCAAGGGCACAACCTTTCCACTGCATGTGCAACACTCACCCAGACCATATGGTGAGCCATAGCAAGCACCAACAGACTCCTAAAGGGCTGAAACCAAAAAAGTACAGTCTTAGAACACAGCAGAATTAAAGAGAAAACCTTCCAGGGCACAGGAGTAAGGCATCCCAAGGCAGCACATCGCTACCTCACTAACAGAGGCCGGAAAACACCCTGAGCGCAAATGAAACACAGCACATTAAACACGCAAGACGAGGCTGAAATAGGGAGACCTAAAGACTTAAGTATTTCATTTGGGAAAGAAGAAAGGACCAAAATCAATTACTTAAGTTTCCTCTTTATGAAGCCAGCAAAGGAACAAATTAAGCCCAAAGAAAAGTAGAAGGAAATCATAAAAAGCACAATTAAAAAAGAAATCAATGAAGCCAAAAGCTGGCTTTTGAAAAGATAAACACATCTGATAAACTTCTAGCTAGATGGATTAATTAATAACAACAACAACAACAACAACAAAAAACAGAAATGGAAGAAGGGTCATCGCCATAGACTCTGTAAACATGAAAAGAATAAGGAAATAACATTTTAAAACTAATACATTTTGGGCCCAGCATGGTAGCCTAGCAGCTAAAGTCTTGCACGGGCTGGGATCCCATATGGGCACCAGTTCTTTTTTTTTTTTTTTAAAGATTTATTTTTATTATTTTCTTTTATTGGAAAGGCAGATATACAGAGAGGAGAGACAGAGAGGAAGATCTTCCGTCCGATGATTCACTCCCCAAGTGAGCGCAACGGGCCGATACTATGCCGATCCGAAGCCAGGAGCCTCTTCCGGGTCTCCCACGCGGGTGCAGGTTCCCAAAGCTTTGGGCCGTCCTCGACTGCTTTCCCAGGCCACAGGCAGGGAGCTGGAAGGGAAGCGGGGCTGCCGGGATTAGAACCGGCGCCCATATGGGATCCCGGGCGTGCAAGGCGAGGACCTTTAACCACTTGCGCCACCGCGCCAGGCCCAAGGGCACCAGTTCTAATCCCAGTGACCTCTTCCCATCCAGCTCCCTGCCTGTGGCCTGGGAAAGCAGTCGAGGACGGCCCAAAGCCTTGGGACTCTGCACCCACATGGGAGACCTGCTGGAAGAACCTTCTGGTTTTGCACTGGCTCTGGTCATTGTGGCCACTTGGGAAGTGAACCAGCAAATGCAAGATCTTCCTCTCTGTATAACTGGCTTTCCAATTTAAAAACAAAACAAAAAAAAAAGCTTTTTAAACTAACACCTTTGACAAGATGAAATGAATAGACTACTTCAGAGACATAAACAATAAAAACAGAGACATTAAGACTTAGAAAATTTATTTCACTTCATTAGCTACCAAAAACTGAATTCTCAAATAGTTTTCAACAAAGAAAATCCCAGGCCTGCATCACTTCACTAGGGAATTAAAGATTTAATCACGGAACAATTCTAGGCAAGATCCTAAGAGGAAAGCTCATTTTCTGAGGCTGGCATGACTGACAGCGACATCAGACAAACACCCAAGCAGGGTCCAGACAGGTCTGCATCACAAACAAACATTTAATAAACAATAAAACCTTTAATAAAAGTACAGTCCCAATGACTGGAGTGAAGCGAAGAAAGGAAGTGAAACTCTTCAATCAGTGATGGCGACCGTGTGTGTGGAAATGCCTGAGCACACAGGAAGTTGTCAGTGCACACCAGCAAGGTCACGGGACAGAAAGCCACAAGAACTCACTGTGCTTCCCGAGACCAGCAGGGAACTGCACAGGGAAACGGAAATGCAACAGTGTCGCCATCAGATTAAAGTCAAAAAAAGCAATGAGACTACACAGGACTTTTGGCAGAACTGGTAACGTGTGCATGGCCTGGGAGGCAACTGCTGTTAGATGCCAACTTCTTCCCAGACTTTCCTAATATTGAATGAAATAAATAAAAATCCCAGAAGGTCACATTTCCTCCCCACAAATGGTCAAACTGAGTCAAGTATTACAGAACCAAGCAATTTTTAGGAAAAAAAAAAAGCAAAGTTGGAGGACTCTCAGGGCTACATTTTAAGATCATAAAGCTACTAGGAGCCTGTAGGGAAATTTACTCTAGGAGTCAACAAAATACTATCCATTGGCCCAATCCAGCCCACCACCTGTGTCTATACAGAAAGGTTTGCTGGGATCCAGCCATGCTCACTGCTTACATTCTGCACCAATGGCCTGTGCGAGTAACAGCCAGTACAGAGCCTTCAATAGTTACTATCCGCCCTCTTTACAAATGGCCAACTCCCAACCCAAGTCATGAAGGAGAGATTACACTTCCTAGAAGTGTAGAGAAACTGGAAAATTGCTCAGCTAGAAAAGTTATCGCTCAAGTTTCAAGATTAAGACAGCAAAGAACACCAGCCAGTAGTAACTACTGGTGAAATGACAGCTGCCAAGGACGGGTGTGAGCGGATTCCAAGCGGCAGTGCCTACTCAAAAGGCACAATGTGTGTAAGACCTTACCTTAGGAGGGGAGGTAGGAGAGTATCATGAGTAGATGATATTATTGATGTTACAGCACAAGAATCAGCTAGGGGATGGTACTGAGGCACAGTGGGTAATGCTGATGCATGGCACTCTGGCATCCTATGTAGTTGCTGGTTTGAAACCTGCCTACTCTACTCCCAATCCAACCCTCTGCTAATGAACAGCATGGGAAAGGCAGAGCAAGATGGCCCAAGTGCCTGGACCTCTGCCATCGCATGGAAGACCCAGATGAGGCTCCTGACTTCAGCCTGGCCTGGCACTGCCTGCTGCAGACATCTGGGGAGTGAACCACTAGATGGAAAGTCTTTGTCTCTCTCCCTCTCTATAACTTTATCAAAATAAATAAGTAAATCTTAAAAAAAAAAGAATCAGCCAAAAGTTTCTCAATCTGCCAATGTTTGGGAAAGGATCCAAGGGGCTGTGTGTACAACAGATGATGCTAAAAACACTTAAATGATGAACTGATCTTCTTCAAAAGAAAGGAGGGAAGTCCTACCGAGAGGGCAGGTTAAGAGGGCAGCCCCGAGGTAACCAGAACTCACATGGCCAGCTGCCCACGGACTGCGGCCCAGCCAGGAGCCCGTGTCTCAGCGGGTCTCCGGCAGAGCCGTCACACTTACGTTGTCCAGGTCCTTGCGCAGCGCAATCTTGCTGGTCACCAGCTCATGGGCCAAGTCATCGTTTTCCTGTTCCAACCTCATGTTAGCTTCTTGTAGACGTCTATTCTCCCTCTGGAGAGTTAAAAAAAAAAAAAAGCAGTTACAGACACACAAATAAGATACAGACAGACCCCAAAAAATCAATATCTGAGCCCTACGGAAATATTCAGAGATGTGGCCGGTTCTGGCATGTTTCCCAGTCAGCAGTTTCTTCCTTCCTAGCTCCACTGAGAAGCACTTGACCTTGCCAAGCAGCTACACCTGATGAGCCATGACCAAAGGCCACTGAACTGTGACGAACCAGGTGGCTGGTTGGAATCAAGGCAGATCTTGGTTACTTCAAACTCAAGACTCAAGCTTGAAGCTAGAAAGAGTGGAACTGGGTTTGAGAAACAATTCAATAAAGTGAGTTACAAGGATATGAAAGCTCCGCCTGTCCTCTGGGCCCCCAGTAACGCACCTCAAATCGCTCGACGGGGTCCTCCTGCTGGGCCTGCTGTTCCCGCATGGTGAGATACTCTTTCTCATACTTTTTTAACTTCTTCTGACTGATCTGTAGGATGAAGAACAGCATCAATTAAGGAGCAGCAAAGCAGCAGGTGCTTCTCCACCTGCAGTGAAGACCCAAGACTGCCCTCAGGCCTCGGTCACTGCAGGAGTCTTATTTCTTATTTTCAGAGGAAGTTCAGGATCCACACATTTTTCTAAAGACTGATTCATTCTCCCTGGAAAAGCAGATTGACAGAGAGAAGGAGATACAGAGGGAAAGAGGGTTTATCCGCTGGTTCACTCCCCAAGCGACCGCAATGGGTGGAGCCAAAGCAGGAGCCAGGGCTTCTGGGTCTCCCACGCAGGGTCCCAAGGCTTTGGGCTGTCCTCTTCTGCTTTCACAGGCAGGGAGCTGGATGGGAAGTGGAGCAGCTGGTGCATGAACCAGTGGCCATGTGGGATCCAAGCACATTCAAGGCAAGGATTTAGCCTATGAGCCATCATATTGGGCCACCACACTTTTTTTTTAACCCAGTAACAATCCTGTCCAGGTGCTTTTTAGATTGTCAGGTTTGTGAGTTGGGATTTTACTACTAGTGCTCAAATGAGAGCCTACAGACAGCCCCTCTTCCCTCAGTTCTGGGCCTGTTCGTCCACAGCAACAACAAAGCAGCAGGCACTGCCAGTGCTTTACTGTGACCTTAGCTCAGCTCTGCACGGAGTTGTTATCACCTTCATCCGACAGCCACCTAACTGTGGAATAATGATGTTATACACACTGTGGCCAAATCAGTCTGCAAGGGCCCAACAGCCCCGTTCACACAGCCAGCGCACTTCCTGCCCACCCCACCAGCCGTTCCTGTGCTGCTTTCACGGCGCGGCCATCTGGCACGGCAGCTATGAGGCCACTGGCCACACCAGCATCCCACACGGAGTGGTTGCATTCCAATTCTGGCTCCGCCTGAGATTCTGTCTGCCTGCTCAGGCGGAGATGGCTCCGGTGCTGGGTCCCTGCCACCCACAGGGCAGACCCAGCCTGAGTCTGGGCTTTAGGCTTTGGTCAGACCCACCTCTGGCTGGGGAGGGAATCTGCAGATGGAAGGCTGCTTTTGCCTGTCAAATAAATACATGCTTAAAAGATTTTTTTTTTTTTAACCAATAAGGGCAAAGCTACAGAAGGAGAGACATTAAGAGCAAGTTTTCATCCCCTGCTTCCAGGGAGCTGGCGTGGAAGTGGAATGACTAGGAGCTAGAATTGGTGCCCATGCGGGACACTTGCATATAGGCAGTAGCTGGACCTGCTGCAGCACAGCACCAGCCCCAAATAAAAATTATTAAAAAAAAACTGGAAGCAGCTCTGCTGACCATTCCACTTATATATGCACCCACCCAGCAAACTACTGTCCTGTTTCTCTCAAGCCTTTCTGTTCCAAACACTGCAAACCACACGCCCGTGTCTCCCACCCTCCCGCTGCATGGCCTCTGCCTCCTGCACTCTCCAGGCCTTCACGGAGCACTGCTGGAGAGTTCCCCTGTCAAGGTCACCAGTGGCTCCCTTCTCACTTCATCCACCTCAGTGAACCTCCGTGACCTTCATTCTTCGGTAGGACCAACGCTCTGCCCTTCTAGGACCCCCGCCCGTCATTCTCCCGGCTCTCCTGCTTAGCATACCCCCTCTTCAAAGTGAACCATCACCAGGGCACAGCTTCAAGACACACTTTCGGTAGGTTCCTTCTGCGAAATGCTAACCCAATCCCTATGGTGTTTTTTGATTTATACTTTTTAAAATTATGAGCCATAAGAGAAAAATGATAAAACAGAAGATGTGTAATTTTAAGGGATGACAGCGAAGCTACGCTGATCCCCCCTAAAAGTTCCAACACTTGGCAGTAAAGTGCAGGCCAAGAGCTCTGGTGGCGGGGCTGTGGAGGCTCCTCCTGCCAACTGCTCTATTGGACAGAGGACAAAACGGAACTGCAAGGGTTGGGCCTGCTGGACACGATGGCACCAGCCCCGAGCGTCCTGCTCTGCAGCCCTCCATCTCCCCGCTCCTGCAGGGGCTCCTCAGCAGGGACTCAGGGCACCAGTCCTAGCTGGGATGCTCACCAAGGCGCCTCCGCGGGAGAGCTGCTGCTCGAGTGGGGAGCCACGATGGGAGCACACGCGTGGGCTGCGGCCCACAGGAAGGTGCCTGTGAAAGCCGTGCGTGAGGTCACCAGTGTGGAGAGGCCAATCTGCAAACCCAGACCAACGCTGGGCACTCTGTCAGCATGCGCCTAAGTGGCCCACAGACAAGCACCTAATAAAACATCCATGCAAGCAGCACACTGATAAACAATCTAACAGATCGATAGCAGAGAAACGGAAGATGAATGAGGCTGTGGGCAGCACACACTTCCTGCCAAGGTTCTTTGCACCCTGGACAGTCAGCGGGGCAGGCAGTGGCTGCAGGCCGCGCCCAGCATCAAGCCAGCGAAGCATTTTCACCAATCGTCAAGGCTCTTCCACTTCACTTCTCAAGCTGGGGCAAGGAGGAATTAAGTGCCCCTCTTGCCCCCAGAACACACACTTCAAAGGCCAATTACAAAAACAATTCATTCTGTATTGCATTATCCTGAATATGACTCACGGAAAAGGGTGGAGTCCTCCTCACTGGTGCGGACAGCTTCCCTCTGAGGGCCCCTGGAAGGGCTGGCCATCTACACATGCCAGCTCTTAGCTTGCTGCATGGCTGACAGGATACCTCGTCTTTATCCGAAAAGCAAGGTTGGGCCTGGTATGATGGCTCAGTGGCTAAATCCTTGCTTCGCATGAATCAGGATCCCATATGGGTACCAGTGTGTGTCCCAGCTGCTCCACTTCCCATCTAGCTCCCTGCTTGTGGCCTACAGGAAGGCAGTAGAGGATGGTCCAAAGTTTCGGGACCCTGCACCTGCGTGGGAGACCCGGAAGAAGCTCGTGGCTTTGGATTGGCTCAGCTCTGGCCGATGTGGTCCCTTGGGGAGTGAACCAGTGCAAGATCCTTCTCTGTGTATTTCTTTCTCTCTGTAAATCTGCCTTTCTGATTTAAAAAAATCTTTTTTTTTTTTCTTTAAAGAAAGAAAAGCAAGTTCACACATATATATACAAATAAAATGCATCACAGCTCTGGATGGGTTCCCAGCTGATGTCCATCTCTGGAGTGGGGGAGTCTTACAGCAGAACCAACGGGGTCAGGCTGCCTCTGAGGCACAGACCTCCAAAGAGACCCAGGTGGATTGCTGGGGTGCTCACCACAGAACCAGCAGCCCGAGCCCCAGCCTGCCCTGGAGGCCCTACCCAAAGCGCCCAGCCTTCCATCGTTCTCCCTGGCTAGGCAAGCCCACGCACACAGCGCATAGCACCTAGAGGCGCTGGCCAAGTTGGTGGGAAAGGACCTTCTCGTTCCTAAACTGACCATCCTCCTGAATGGAAATTGCTACGTGGACCCTGACATCAGCCTGACCACTCCTGTTCTCATCAGACTCGCCCTCTCCTGCCCACTTGAGTCTTTTAGTTCCGTCTTCTCACGGCAGCAGGTCAACACCCCAGGGCACCTATCCAAGTCAACAGCTGCTGAGGAGCCTTCTTCACGGCTGAGCTTCCTGCCTGTGCGCAGGCCAGACACCGCTCCTCTTCCCACTCCTGTGTCCGGTGCTCAGCTCAAGGCCTGAAACCTAAATGGGACTCGGTGAAAAGATGCTGAATAGACCAAAGACAAGGGTCCTCCTTTTAACCTCCTGAGGTGAGCCCCATGTGTGAGGTTCTTGGCTCCATATTACTAGTGATGTGGAAAGAGTCAACTATCTGGGGCAGGAAGTCATTCTCTATGACATTTGAATGATACATGCAAGAAACCCACGAAAATACTTAATGAACAGACACATATTCCCCACTCCTCAAAGATTCATTTTCTCTTATTTGTAAAAATACCATTTTGATTGAAGTCAGAAAGCAAGGGAAACTGTGGATTCAGCCTCAGGGCTCTGAATCACACCCGCTGTTAGCTGACTCCCATCAGAAGGTTTTGAAAATGACAAGTTTTGCACACAGAGGTATTTTTGCCCTTGAAGACTGAATTTGAAATTCAATCCTTGTTCTGTTTAAAGGTTCTTTGGGAGGGGTGGGAAGAGTCCTAGCGAATTCCTGGGGTAAGAGCAGGCTTGTAGCCTGGGTAAAGCCAACGGTGCACCACTGGCATCAGCACTGGCACAAAGTCTCCCAAGAGACACGGCTCTTCCCTTGCAAGAGTAGAGCAGGCTACCTCCCCTCCCCCAGCAACCAAACATTACACATGGAGGGTTCACAGGCTTCTTGTTGCCATCTGTAGCCCCAGGTAAAGAAACCTTGAACTAGGGGCTGGTAGAGTGATGCTTAGAACTAATACTCTGCCCTGAGGTGCTGGCATCCCATATGGGTGTGCAGGTTCAAGCCCCGGCTGCTCCACGTTCAGCCTGGCTCTGTGCTTGTGGCCTTGGAAGGTAGTGACAGGTGGCCTAAATCCTGGGGACCTTGTATCCAGTGTGGAAGACCTGGAGGAGGCTCCTGGCCGCAGGCATCGGACTGACCAAACTCAGGCCATACACCACCCGGGGGCTACCCCAGTGGATCGAAGATCGATCTCTCTCTCTCTCTTCTTCTCTCTACAAAATCTGCTTTTCAAATAAAACCTTTTTTAAGAAAAGAAACCTTGAACTAAAGACATGGAGAATACTTGGTATATGTCGGTTTGGTATTTTATGAGAGACAGAAGTTCAGCCACAAATACCTCTTTCTTGATCACTCACTTGCCATCAATCTCAGGGGAAGTGGATAATGCATTCTCTTAAAACAGAAGCTATCTGCTCTGAGGAAGTTGGTTTCTGGTTGGCTTCTGGAACAGGCATGTCAAGGCCCACACGTGAAGAAGAGCAGCTGCCAACCTGGGCAACACCGGGCATCAGTCTGCTGGCTGAGAGCCTGGGCTCTGTGTGTGGGTACACGGACGCTCACACGCTACCTACCGCTGCCTGACGTCGCCATGTTGCCAACAGCAGGTGGCCTCAC